CTTAGTGAGGAAGCCATGTTCCTCCTTAGTGAGATAGGCCAAAAGCTAGGCCTCTTGTACCAAATGGACAAGTTGTGAATGAAGAGAGAAAATTCTTGAAGATTAAGTAGTAGTCCAGTGAACACACACACAAATGATAAGAGAGCAAAAAAGCCTTACTGCTGATAGGAGAAAGTTTGAGTGGTCTGGATAGAAGATGAAACAGGCCACAATATTCCCTTTAGCCAAAGCCCAATCCAGAGCAAGGCCCTGACTCTCAATTCTAAGGCTGAGAGAGATGAGGCTGCAGAAGAAAAGTATGAAGCTAACAGAGGTTGGTTCATGACATTTAAGCAAAGAAGCTGCCTCCACAACATAAAAGTACAAGGTGAAGCAAGTGCTGACGAAGGAGCTGCAGCAAGTTATCCAGAAGACCTAAGGTAATTAATCAAAGTGGCTACACTACACAAGATTTTCAATGTAAACAAACAGGTTGTGTTGGAAAATGCCATGTAGAACTTTCATAGCTAGAGAGCAGTCAGTCACTGGCTTTGAATCTTCAAGACAGGCTGACCTGTTAGAGGCTAATGCAGCTGATGATTTTAAATTGAAGCCAACGCTCAGTGACCTTTCTGAAAGTCCTAATGCCCTTAAGAATAAGTTACTCTATTCTGCCTGCACTCAATAAACAGAACTAAGCCTGGATGACAGCACATCTGTTTACAACATGGTTCACTACATTAAGCCCACTGCTGAGACCTACTGCTCAGAAAAAAGATTCCTTTCAAAATATCACTGCTCATTGACAATGCACCTGGTCACCTAAGAACTCTGATGGAGATGAACAATATTATTATATTTTCATATGTGCTAACGCGGTATCCATTCTGCAGCCCCATGGATCAAGGGGTAATTTCAACTTTCAAGTCTCATTACTTAAGAAATATATTTCATTAAGGCTATATAGTTGCCACAGAGTGATTCTAATGGATCTGAGAAAACTAAATAGAAAATCTTCTCGAAAGGACTCACCATTGGAGATACAATTAAGAACATTTGTAACTCATTGGAAGAAGTCAAAATACAGTTAGCCCTTGAAAGGAGGGGGGTTAGAGCTGCCTCACACCATCAGAAATCCGTATCTCTGACTCCCAGGAATTTAACAGCATACTGTTGACCCGAAACCTTACAGATAAGCAGTCAATTAACACATACTTTGCACATGTATGATATACTATATTCTTACAATAAAGATTATTTTATCAAATCATCCAAATGTGCTACCAAACAGCATTGCCTGCTACAGAGAAACTGTTCATGAAAGGACAAGTCCGTCAAGTGTGGCAAACTTCATTGCTACATTAAGAAACTGCCTCAGCCACTTCAGACTTCAGCAACCACCCTGGTCTGTCAGCAGCCATCAACATCAAGACCCTCCACCAGCAAGAGATTATGACTCACTGAAAGCTCAGATTAGCACTTTTTGGTAATATTTTTTAAGGCATGTACAGTTTAAAATGCTATTATACACATAACAGACTACAGTATAGTGTGAATGTAACATGAATGTAACTTTTATATGCACTAGGAAACTAAAAAATTCATTTGACTCCCTTTATTGTGATAGTCACTTTATTGTGGTGGTCTAGAACCAGACCCACAGAATTTCCCAGATATGCCTGTAATAAGACAACCTGAACTCCTGTTAACCCTACCCTTCAATTAATCATAAAATTATCTTTCATTTCCTCACCTCTGGATCTACCAAGGTGTCACACTGAGGCCACATTCATAAGATGCTACCAATGACTGAGCACAGTGGGGCACTAGGCCATTTCTTCTAATAGGAAACCTTTGCTTAGGGGTTCCATCAGCCTAGCACTTTCTCAAACAAGGTACTGCTTGAGACCCGTCCTACCAAATCCTGTTTTCCATGCCTAACAGAAGACAGAACCTTGCAGTAGGGGTAGCTATGTGCGTATGGTCCCACATTACTAGGTTTGCAAAGGAGTGGCCATTAGAATTTCTAGGGTGCTGAGAACACAGATTCTCTAGTCTCCATGAGTACCTCCACAACCAAGAAAAGTAGTCATAGGCCTGTTAATCTACAGAACAATTTTGGGGATGTAGATGCCAGTGATCTGTAACTTTTCAAAACAATGAGTATATTCTATTATCTAATCCTTTTGCAGGAGCAGGCATGTTTATGTTCATAGCCAGGTTCATCTTTGTGGATAGTGTAAGAAGTACTAGAGAGCAGCAGGAATTAAAAACTAAAAAAATAAGTACACTGCAAGACCTATGGAAGGTGATCTCTGGAATTCACCTGAAGTGGGTTCTGAATTACCTTCAAACATTCTCTGGCTGTAAATATTTAAACTAAAGCTAAAGTGATGGTGTAAAACCTCTTCTCTGCTTCTTCAGTTTAGTTCTTACAGAAGGCAACCTTTTGGCCTAGTCACACACATTGTAGTATAGTAGACATATCTCCTTTCATTGTGCTGCACAGATACTGCATTTTTTACAAATTAAAGGTTTGTGGTAATGCTGCATTGTCTACAAGTGCCATTTTTCCAAAATCATTTGCTGACTTCATGTCATCTGTCACATCTGATAATCCTCATATTTCAAACTAATTATTGTATTTGTTTGGTGATCTGTGATCAATGATCCCTGATGTTACTATTTTAACCGTTTAGGGCATTACGAACCACACACGTTAAGAAGGCGAATTTAATCAATGAACGTCTGCTCTGACTGCCCCACTGACAATGCAGTTCCCCTGCCTCTCTCCCTCCTTGGGCCTCTGTTCCCTGAGACACATTACTGAAATCAGGCCAATAATCCTACAATGGCCTCTGTGTTCAAGTGAAAGCAAGTGGCATCTCTCATTTTAAATCAAAAGCTAGAAATGATTAAGCTTAGTGAGGAAGCCATGTTCCTCCTTAGTGAGATAGGCCAAAAGCTAGGCCTCTTGTACCAAATGGACAAGTTGTGAATGAAGAGAGAAAATTCTTGAAGATTAAGTAGTAGTCCAGTGAACACACACACAAATGATAAGAGAGCAAAAAAGCCTTACTGCTGATAGGAGAAAGTTTGAGTGGTCTGGATAGAAGATGAAACCAGCCACAATATTCCCTTTAGCCAAAGCCCAATCCAGAGCAAGGCCCTGACTCTCAATTCTAAGGCTGAGAGAGATGAGGCTGCAGAAGAAAAGTATGAAGCTAACAGAGGTTGGTTCATGACATTTAAGCAAAGAAGCTGCCTCCACAACATAAAAGTACAAGGTGAAGCAAGTGCTGACGAAGGAGCTGCAGCAAGTTATCCAGAAGACCTAAGGTAATTAATCAAAGTGGCTACACTACACAAGATTTTCAATGTAAACAAACAGGTTGTGTTGGAAAATGCCATGTAGAACTTTCATAGCTAGAGAGCAGTCAGTCACTGGCTTTGAATCTTCAAGACAGGCTGACCTGTTAGAGGCTAATGCAGCTGATGATTTTAAATTGAAGCCAACGCTCAGTGACCTTTCTGAAAGTCCTAATGCCCTTAAGAATAAGTTACTCTATTCTGCCTGCACTCAATAAACAGAACTAAGCCTGGATGACAGCACATCTGTTTACAACATGGTTCACTACATTAAGCCCACTGCTGAGACCTACTGCTCAGAAAAAAGATTCCTTTCAAAATATCACTGCTCATTGACAATGCACCTGGTCACCTAAGAACTCTGATGGAGATGAACAATATTATTATATTTTCATATGTGCTAACGCGGTATCCATTCTGCAGCCCCATGGATCAAGGGGTAATTTCAACTTTCAAGTCTCATTACTTAAGAAATATATTTCATTAAGGCTATATAGTTGCCACAGAGTGATTCTAATGGATCTGAGAAAACTAAATAGAAAATCTTCTGGAAAGGACTCACCATTGGAGATACAATTAAGAACATTTGTAACTCATTGGAAGAAGTCAAAATACAGTTAGCCCTTGAAAGGAGGGGGGTTAGAGCTGCCTCACACCATCAGAAATCCGTATCTCTGACTCCCAGGAATTTAACAGCATACTGTTGACCCGAAACCTTACAGATAAGCAGTCAATTAACACATACTTTGCACATGTATGATATACTATATTCTTACAATAAAGATTATTTTATCAAATCATCCAAATGTGCTACCAAACAGCATTGCCTGCTACAGAGAAACTGTTCATGAAAGGACAAGTCCGTCAAGTGTGGCAAACTTCATTGCTACATTAAGAAACTGCCTCAGCCACTTCAGACTTCAGCAACCACCCTGGTCTGTCAGCAGCCATCAACATCAAGACCCTCCACCAGCAAGAGATTATGACTCACTGAAAGCTCAGATTAGCACTTTTTGGTAATATTTTTTAAGGCATGTACAGTTTAAAATGCTATTATACACATAACAGACTACAGTATAGTGTGAATGTAACTTTTATATGCACTAGGAAACTAAAAAATTCATTTGACTCCCTTTATTGTGATAGTCACTTTATTGTGGTGGTCTAGAACCAGACCCACAGAATTTCCCAGATATGCCTGTAATAAGACAACCTGAACTCCTGTTAACCCTACCCTTCAATTAATCATAAAATTATCTTGACATTTTATGCCTACCTCTGTGATCTAGCATCAGGTCCAACTTCTCTGAAGTTTCACAAATACATGCTTAGCCCTGGAGAATTCTGAGATGATAATCAGGCACTCATTGTGAGGAAGAAATGGGAGTGGGAAGAAGGGGCAGAGAGAAGAGGATAAAAAGAATGTTTGGAACTGGTAGGCTTTAATAAGGAAGTCCCACCCTTTTCCATTTACTTCTTTCAGGTTTTTTATCTTATCCTCCAAACTCAAACAAGTCACTAATGTATTTACTTCTTGGATGGAAGCGTATCTGTCTCGTTTTCCATTTTCCCAGAGACAGCTCCCTAAGGACCCCAAAAATGTGTGTGTGTGTGTGTATACTCAAATACAAACAAAACATGCATTCAAGCAATTTACATTTTCATAACATTTTAACATTTAATAGAAACTATATACAGTAATTTTGCTGAATCTTACAGAAGACAGCCACTACAGAAATTTACATAGTTACAAGCAAGATGGATGGATAAGGAAGGCCCAGTCCTGTGGGCTATTTTTTCAGATGTTACAGATCAGAGGTCATTAGGAAGAGGGGGTTCCGATTGCCCAATCAGGTGAGAAGTGAGGAAAGGCTAAAACACAGGCTGTTAGATAGATGTCTCTCCCCTTAGGCACAGCCCCAAAACTCCCCCAATCGCAGTAGCTCTGACAAGAATCACAATCTCTCTCATCCTTGCCTAGAGTACGAAAACACCCCCAACTTTTAGACACTACTGGTCCCTTCCCCAAAAATTTGGCTTATGTTGGACTACAACACTCAATAACCCAGAAGAAAAACAAGGTAAGGTAGTCTGGGTTGTCCTTTAGTGAGAGATGGTTAGAAATATTTGGTTAAAGAATGGGAAATTCAAATCCTCCAAAGTCAAATGTTTCCCAAAACAAACTATCAACTGAAAGAACTGGGTTCTGGCTTCCCATTTGCAGTAGCCACTCCACTTTGAGGCAATGATGCACAGACTTTCTCAGAATTTCGAGGTCCCTGTGATCTGCACCCATCTCCAGCCATCTGCATCTGGCCCTGTTAAAAGAAAGTCACTTTGGTTACAAATTCATTCATTGTGATCTGAAGCATAAATCTGACTTTATCAATGCCCATGTAGAGTAGCAACAAGAATAAGACAGCAGAAATAAAATACTCTGGGAAGTTGCTCCTCTTGTACAACTATCCCTGACCCTTAAAGTCATTACTTGCATCATTCCTGAGGCTCTCAAAATGGGAAGGAGAGCTGTGGGTTGTTTCTTCCAATGAAACAGCCATTCTTTGCTGAGGTTCCAGAACAGCCAGATGATCACAGGAAGACAGTCCTTTAGGCCTCTGCTTGAAACCAACAGCTACAGTATAACTGCTGGTCTTCAGTCAGGGCCACCCAAGTGTCAAAAGAAAAAAATCAAATCACCTTACTTGTCCTTACTCTGTAGGATGAATACAATTCCAGTGTGGAACTCTCCCTTAAAAGGTCCAACTGACCTAGATTACTTGTCTTAACCTTTTCTAGTTAACGAAGTAAATTTGTGCTCTGCTGAGATATGGGAGCCAGGGGCCATTAGATGTCCTAAGAGCCCATCTGCAGAACTGCCTTCTGGGGTACCTTTACAGTCTACTTGTGATGACAACCCCTCTCCCTGGGAGTGCATGTTAGGGAGAGCCAGCAGGGAATCTCTGCCTGGCTGAGTCACTATATGAGTGAAGCTTGGCTGGGGTTGTTCTTCACTTGCCAAAATATCCACTGGGCCTTCAGCGATTTCTTTGACCGAACAATCTTCAAGGGTTAGTGAAGGATCAAAAAGCAAGGGTGAAGGAGGGCACTGCATACCATCACCCACAACATCCAAGTCCTAGGAAAACAAATAAAAAAGTCTCAGCAATACCAAAGGAACCAATAAGCTCATGTTGGCATATTTTTTAATAAATCTCAAAATAACTCCCTCACATCCTGCCTACCTTTAATTAAAATAAGATTTTCCCTGAATGTCCAACAAATGGGATTCAGACACAAAAACACCAAGAATTTTTCTTGCTGCCAAGTATAAAGGACAGACCCCTATAATAGCTAAAAAAGCATATTGATTAAATAGGAAAATTCAGAGACAGAAAATAGGATATGCTAGCAGCAGATTGGGGAGAGAGTAAGAAGGAAGTAATAGTTTCAGTCTGTGGGCTGATGGAAGTTTCAGAAATGGACAGTAGTGATGGCTGAAGAATAGAATATCATGAATGTATGTAATACCACTGAACTGAACACTTAAAAATGGTTAAAATGGTTTAAATTTTCAGGAATATTTTACCATAATTTTTTTATTGCTTACTAAGAAAAAAAGCATATTCCCTCTAAGACTAACTATAGTCAACATCTAAGTTCACCGGTGGTGAGTCTAATATGGACAAGCAGCATCATTACCAATGAAAATGAAATGCTGCTCTAAAAACTTGGGCAGTATGAGATTTTCTGATTAATGTCCTAACAGCCACAAAGCAAGCCAGGGAGAGATGAGACAGAAAGGTAGAAGGAAGAGAAAAGAAGGACAAAAAAATTCAATGTATCTCTAAATAGCTAGGAAATACAATTTTGGTTAAGTCCCTATCCCCACAGAGTTAAGTCCCTGATTCTTAAAGCTAACGTAGTCCAATTGCTGTTAAAAAGAAAGACATTATATCACATAGACTTTGTGTCTTCCAACTGAACTGGCCATTCCCATTGGGGTGCTGAATGGCCAAGAGACCATAGGAAAATTGCTCTTAGCTCCTGTTTGACACAAACAGCTACATACAGCAAACTGTCAGTCTTGATTCAGGGCCTAAAGCATTGCAAAGGCTCAGACGGTATGTCAAACTGACTTTCATGTCATCAATTTTAAGAATCTACTGCTAAACTCTCCCTACCAAGAGTGAAAAACACCCAAGGGTTTGTAGTCCCCTGTGCCCAATCCACACTATAGAGGCTCTATGTTGCCAGTAATGTAGCTTTAAGAGGAGCGTAGTTCTTCACTTTTCAGTAAGTCTAAGAGTTTGAAATCCTTTCCCTTTCTCTCGTGTGTTAATCACCAAAAACAAGAAACACATCTTCACAATAATTAAGCTTCAGAAAAGAATATAATTAAAGAATGTACCAGACTTAAAGCTGCTCAATTTAAGCAGAAACATAGGGTAAAGGATAAAGTTGGCCACCTGATGTCCATTTCGGATATATCAAAAACTTCTGTACCACAGAAACCAATGTTATCACACAGTTAAAACTGTAAGACGCTTTCTCCAATTCTTGTACTATACACAATTATTTTATAAATAATTAACTTGGAATTTAAAAGAACTCATTTAAATGGTGAGGCAAAAGGTTTCCAAGTCTCAAGGTAACAACTGTAGGTGTGTGTGTGTGTGTGTGTGTGTGTGTGCGTGTGTGTGTGTGTGTGTGTGTGTGTGTGTGTGTACACACACACAGATAAATACTGAAAAGGATTTTCTCATATATTCACAATTTTGTCTGTTACAGGAATTAAAATTGGGCAAAAGAATATAAAATAAAAGGGGAAGAAAGGATCAGCAGAAACACCTACCATAACAAGAATGTTTGGAGACATAAATTTCAGGACAGACAGAATCCACATTTTCTTGAGCTCAAAAACAGAGCTCAGAAATCACACACAAAAAAAGAGAGCAACCCTATAGCATCTTACTAGGCTGGACAGTGACTATAATGAAGTTTGTGCAGGGCACTTGATAATATGGATGAATGTTGTAAAAACCTTCCTAAGATTATGTAACAATGACACCTTAATAAAAAAAAAGAATAATCTCAAAGTAATAGGATTAGGGTATAAAAGGTTGTTACTTGGCAAGCATCCTTGGATCAAAGCACAGAAAACAGGCAAAAGTAATGTCCAGAATAAAGGCTGAATTTTTATCCATATTAATATCCAGTACCGGATTCTCCCATAAATAAAGTTACCAGAAGTTATTAACAAGTTACAGAAATGATTATCTAAGGCAGAATATAAGTAACAAGACTGCTTGGTAAAATTCATACATTTAAGAAATAATTTTTTCCCAGCAAAAGTTTATACCAACAAATAAATCCAGAATTTGTGAGAGGACAAAAATTCTTTTCTAAACTGCTTTTTGTTTCAACACCTTCTACAGAATTTTTACTTCCAAAGATTAAGCACAAAATTTTATTTTTAATGACCAGTGTAGTTGGTCTAAGTACATTAATATGAACACAGTAGATGATCAAGTACAAATTAGTATTTATCATTTTTAAAGCTCTAACAAAGGTCCCTCTTAGAAGCCCACTGGATTCTCAAAAGTACGACTACTTCTCATCCATTCTTTTAAAAAATCATGCCACAAATATGGATTAACAGATAAAACAACATATTTTTAAATATCTTTAAAATTAAGATTCCTCAAATGTCAGTTTTCACCTATGAACACATTTTATAATCTCTTTAATGATTTTGTGTAAATATTCTCCAAAGAGCAAACAAGAATATAATGTATTTGAAGAGATATTTTCAAACAGTCATATTTTCTCAAATCCAAATTACCAAAGGTTGAGAAAGAAAACACCATTTAAAACTAATGTGGCAAAACCAGGTAGAGGAAAAGCAAAAAGACAAAACAAACAGCTCTGGAAATTAACAATCAGATGAAATAAAAATAACCTAGTAGGTCTACATAAAATACATGTGCTAGGTTCTCCATATGTACATTAATATTTGAAGAGAATCTGATAATGTAGTGATTAGGTGATTTTTTAGACCCTATAAAAAAAAAACTACTCATGTTACTAAGTTTAAAAAAAAAAAGCCCCACTCTGGTTTTTTTCACATGTAAAATGAAGGGAAGTGGACAAAAACCCATCCTTATCAATCTACAGCTCTCTATTCATTTATTATCTTCAACATTCCATTGGAAAAGTCTGGGAAACACTGAAGTATATAATCTCGAAAACCCCTTTCCAGTTCTCACATTCATTGATTATGTGTGAAAGAAACTTTTTAAAAAGCAATTATAATCAGGATTATAACAGAAATTATTTTATTTTAAATGAAGTAATGAAAATCTAAAGTTTAATAAGCGTGTAGACAGTACTTAACCAAAAAAAGAGAAAGTAAGAAAAAAAATTGCAATGTTTATTCTCAACACCACTTTTTCTTTTTCAGGTATTACTCTATCCTGGCATTTAGTGAGCAATACCCTCAAAGCCACCCAAACCTCCCTTTTACCCTTAGTAAACAATCTTGTAACCTATACTGAATTTTCCAATTTGCCACCTTAAACATTTATACGTGACACCTTTATTAGGAAATTCAGAAGATTCATCTTCAGAATAAAAGTGATGAAGACCTTTACCCAGCAGGCTAAAGGTTAAATAAGCAAAGTGCCAAGAGAGATGGAGTATCAATTGATCCCCAATCTCAATAGTAGGGTAGTGCTAAATACAGAAACAAAATCAAACGGTTCATGAACCGATACCAAAAAAAGAACAAGCTGAGAAGCACAGAGTAGTACACATACTTAGAAGGCTGTAAAAGTAAATACTTAGGGAGATCACTGTTGTTCTAGTCCATTCACAATGCAATTGGTAATAACATCAAACATGAAAAAACAGTAGCCAGAGCTAAGTTGTGTGTTATTTCTGGGGGATGTATTAACCTGAAAATGAAAATCCTTACAACAGAGCCAAACACAAGTTTACAATGTCAAGAGTGGATATCAGAATTTGTTTATATTAAGACTCTACTGATCTTGTGAATAGGTATCAAATTTCCTGGCTACACCAAATCTAACCAGTCGACTTACAACTTCCCTTAGTTTACAATTTTCCTTATCATTCCCTCAGAAAAAGAACTTCTGCAAATTTAAAGTGACTCAAATGAATATGCTAAATACAAATACAACCATACATACATCATTTCAAAAACTTTATCAATTCTCCTGACCAAAAGACTAACTTATTCTCACCATTAATAAATAAGGCCTTGCCTCAAGGGCCAACCAGAGCAGAGGTTCTCTAACTTACATCACTGGACACCCAACCAGAGCAGAGCTTCTCTAACTTACATCACTGAACTCCAGAGGTAAACTCTCAGTGGGCTGAAGCTCAGCAGCACTCAAGTACAGATCCATGGGGCCGGCTTCCAGATCGTCTGGCACAGACAGTACCTGCTCGGGCTTATACATCTGAGGAGGCAACTGGAAATGCAGTGGGCAGCAGGGATCCTCAGAGAGGCTTACAGGAACTGGTTTGTTGCAGGGTACCTCTTCAGACCCCTGGCAGCATTTGAAGAGAACCTGATTTGTGTCCTGACAAATATCTGCAGAAAAACGGTCAAGGGAAATAAAATAGATAGATCGGAGGTACAAAATATAAGAGTTGTCTGCCATGAAACCTCAAGGTCTGGACCACACAAGATAATTGGTTCCATCTGATACAGAACCAAATGTAGTTAGCCATTTTTAAAGTTACTTCTTAAAATAAGTACATTCACTAGCATCTAATTATAACTCCACCAGTAATTTAAAATTAGTCCCCAATCTACATTTCAGGATCCTAGTCTTTTCAACTAGAGACACTAATCTTGTTCTCCCTCATGAGGATCAAACACAAAACGTGTGAAAACATAATGTTAAACGAAGAGCAACAACAATCTTAGGAATTTACACCTATTCAGAAGAAACATGTCATGGCAATTGCAAATACAGCTTGCAGAGGCCTCCACCAAGTGTCAAAGAGAGATAATGTTGTCTCCACTCTGTTAAGCAGGCTGGCAAAAAGTCTGCCAAAGATTTTCAACTCGTTTCCAATATTTACATGACAAATTTGCCTAAAGCAGCAAGGAACGGGAGAAAATAGAAGTTCTAGTAATGGTAACTAGCCATCTTATTCTGATAGGAAATAAAAACAAATGGCCATCCCCCTACTTTTGGGTAGGGGAATTGGTTGGGGTGTTAGTGTAGGGGCGTTCTATTAAGATCCCAAAGAGAAAGGGATAATTTTGCTTATGAGGGCCTGTGAAAAAGGAATTACACCAGAAACATTCCGGGAGCTCTATCAACTTCTGTAAAGGGTAAAAGCAGAAAAGGGCTATATTTCCAAGTTGGCAAAGCTCTGTAGGATGAATCAAAATTGAAAGCATGCTTAGATAAAATAACAAAATTCCAGTTCAAGTTACTCTACAAAATGTATTTTATTCAAGTATTACCACTTCTTTAAGACTTTACATGGTATTTTCCCTAGATTAACATTTATTAAGTTATTTAATATACTATAGGTAACATGTTATTTCAAACTTGGGCTTATTTTTAAACCAGAAAGCAAAATATTCTGTAAATTGATTGTATCATGATTATGAAATTATAGTTAATTTTTATCCAAAAATTTTAAGGTAATTTTTAAAAATTAAAGTATCTAATATACATTATAATTTTTAAAGCAAATTAAAACTTCTTGAATAAAGCCACTTCTTTCAGTCTGTTCTTGGAAATTACTAAACTCTAAGGCAGGGTTTCACAACCTCGGCACTACTGACCTTACTGATGATCCTGTGCACTGCAGGACCCTTAGCAGCGTTCTTGGCCTCTACCCACTAGATGTCAGTAGCACCCTCACCCCTGGTTTAGGACAAGCCAAACTGTCTCCACACATTTCACCATGGGGGACAAAATGGCCCTCAGTTAAGAACTACTACTCTAAAGGAACAGTGAAAGTAAACAAATATTTACTGAATGAAAATGATCTAATGAACAAACATATGAGTTAGGAACAATCAGATTTGCAGTCTGTATGTACTTAAAATCTAAAGTCTCTAATGTGATTAAAAAGGCCAATCTTATTAAATTATTAATATTTAAAACGTTAACCCATTATATTAAGTGTTTTAACTGGTACTTTATTCATGGAATTCAAAGGACTTTCACAAGTCTCTTACTTAATACCAAATACCCTGGGAACACATTACCACCATCCTCCACCCCCTTTCCTTTCAGTGGGGCCAAAAGAGACAAAGAGAAGGGAATGGTTGACCTACAACTAGAGTCTGGGTCCTTCACTTTTCAGTCCAGTGCTGTCTCCATTAGACCAGAGTAAAGAGTTAACAGGTCACCAATGGCAGTCGCATCTTTCTCTGGAATAAGGACTTAAGGAAGGGTAAGTAACTTAGGCAACTATGGAGTGGAAAGGAAAAGAGCATAAAAGAAAAAATAGTATTTCCCTTCTCTTTTCAAATATATTTTATTTTCAACAGTACTTTCTAAAATATTAATGTAAATATAGTACTATAAGCCTAAAATACTCCTTAACATCTGTAAATTGGGTTTTTTGCCTTATAAAATTCAAGCTCCCTGAAAACCTGAAAAGTACAAAGCAGAAGAAAAAAAGGCATTCATAACCCCATCAAAATTAATCACATTTCTATGACATTCCCTCCCAGTATTTAATGCCATGTAGTTAAAACATATTCTGAACAATTCCATATCCTATTTTTGTTACTATCAAACATTGTATCATTCATTAATTTTGTCAAACATGTTCAATGCCTGAATGTATTCCTTATGTATCACAATTTTCTTCTCTCTGCCCAATCTCTGAAAAGTTTAAGGCTATCTCCAGTTGGAGGAATTTTATAAATACTGGCCTCCATTTGACTACCTCCTTAAAATAAATTCCCACAACTGACATTAACATATCAAAGAATATGAATATTATCAAACTGCTTTCTAAAAAGCTTATACCGCTTTATATATTCCCACCGGCAATGTTTAGAAAGGCCCATTTTACAAGACCCTCATCAACTTTTGAAATTTGCTCACTTACTTACAGTAACATATGTACAAGTATCAAATTTATAGATTCATGAACTTCAATTTACTTCCTATTTCATTTATTTACAAGACAAACTTTTCAACAGTTACTTCTACTTTTAAATCTGTCCACAAACAGCCTTTGCCGAATTATATTTTGAGCAATTATCTTTAGTTTTTAATTAGTATGCACAAGCATTTTTATTGAGGACAGTAATTCTCTACTAAACATTTATTGCAATAATAAATTAGTTAAATATTTAATAAACCAAACAGAAAAAGATCAGTTTTCCTTTCTAAAGACCAAGAGAAGATTATTCCTCCTATTAAATATTTTACTTTCCAAATATTTTATATCTCTTGCCGGGCAAGTGAAATCCAGCAAAATTTATGCCTTTTATACAATGAAGACTACCCTATTAACAAACGCTTTTATTGTGAAAGCGATTTGCTCAAACTATGTCCATTATAAAGTTATACTTTTATAATCCAATAGGCAATCAAGTTTTCTAGCCCAATAGTAAATGTGGTCCCATAGCAGAATTAAGAGATGTTATGACAGCTCAAGGACAAATTCAGTGTGTGGGCAGGGAAGGGGCAGTGTTTCATCCCCCTTTTGGAAACATTAAGTTTCCCATGTGAATGAAGAGTAAAACATGTAATTTTGGGGCCTGACATACAGAATAATACTCAAAGGAAGCTCACAGTTCAGAATCATCCTATTGTTTTTGGTGGAAAACCCACAGTAATTTTTTTAAGTAATTGGATTAACAGATTGTAAATCTAATCAACTAATTAAATCAAGAACCTTTATATTTTGGAATCCCAATATCACCTAACTACAAATAAATATTAACTCATATCTACCACTAAGACTCAGATGTTTCTTTCCAATGAATTGACCATTACATTTCCAAAGTTCTGAAATGGCCAACAGACCATAGAAAGACATTTGTTTAGGCTCCTGCTTGAAACCAACAGCTTCAGCACACTGCCGGCCTTGATTCAGGGCCACAGGTAAAAAAGACCTTCAATTAAGCAAACTATCACAGAGATTCCCACCACCCTTCAATCTAGCTAGCAAGCTGAACACAGTAAAAAGATACGAGTAAGACAATGTCTGGTCATTGGAAGAGATTGATTGGAACAACGAACATCATCCACGAAGGCCAAGCACCTCTGACTGGAACGAGTGGTATGGGCCTAAAACAGAGAAAACAGATCAATTAAAACAGACCCACAAAAGAAAATGTAACCAATTATCATGAGAATACTTTGTTTCTCAACATATAAGGTACATCCTTAAAAGCTAAAAAAATTCAACATGACGTATTCACCAAAACTATGCAAAAGGAAAAAAATTTTTAAACCTATTGTCCAAATAATACATCAACACTAATCCAAAATACACCTATTATGTATACTATTAAAGTGTGATATAGCCTAATGGTTTTTCAAATTATTTTGTCTTGGAGCAAAACCCTCTTTAAAAAATTGTAATCTTATGCAGAGCCTCAACAATTAGATAAAAATAGAAAACACTTATTGATGCAAAGACCAAAGGCTTGAGAAACAAATTTAATAATAATCACTTAACTCTGCTTCCTATGAACCTTACTTCCCATCTTCTAAAACAAGATTCCTAAGCAACACAGTCTTAACAACTTTGTCTACTTCTGAACTGAAGAATTTCTGAATCAAAGAATTGAGTTCTATGGCAACACTGCAATTTTTAGATGAGTAGGGACACCCAGAGAAGTTACCTGTGCAGACACAGAACTGGTCTGAAGGGAACTGAGATTAGAACCCATGTCTCCAGACTTCCAGATATACACACTCTTTTCAATTCACTCCGCGCCCAATTTAGATTCCAGAGCCAAGCTTATACAATAGCATTTTGACAATTATCCTAACTTTATAAATAAAGCAAACCGTACACAAATTACCTGTTGGGCAGCACTATCTGTGGCCAACATTCTGCGTTCCTTTAGTTGCCTATGTAGTAAGGCTTCCACTCCATAGCGCTGACGATACCGCCTAAGACATTTTAAACGCTTTAAGTTCTCTCGTTCTTTCGCCAAAAGTCCCTCTGGGCCAGTCAGAAGACTACTACCTGAAAAGCAGCAATCGTCAAGATGTTATTTGCCAAGCAACAATCAAGGATGCTTCTCCAAATTAACAAGAAGTACATAGGGATATCTTGCCACAAGATAAGCAATTTCAAAAGCAACTTCTCCTTCAATCCAGATACCAAGACAGAAATAACTCTTTCTAACTACTACCAAATCCACATGATGCACCCACTATAGCTTTTTGGAACTGGCATAAAACTTGCCTAGAGCTTCATGTTCCACTTTGCGATTATGTAAGTAACGTCGCTTTTTCTCTTTGAGCAGATGCTGAAGTCGTTTAAACTGATCAATGTACAAAGACTGCAAACGGATTAGCTTCTCACGCATAATCAGGGCCACTTCTTCTGCTGTGTATACACCAGCATGTCTGGATGAAAACAGAATTCAGCAAAGCTTAAGAAAGCACACTAAGTTCAGACAGAGATTCAAGATGGCAACATGAGAGGTGAGACAAATAACTCCTCCCAAAACCTATCAAGTACAAATTAGTATTTATCATTTTTAAAGCTCTAACAAAGGTCCCTCTTAGAAGCCCACTGGATTCTCAAAAGTACGACTACTTCTCATCCATTCTTTTAAAAAATCATGCCACAAATATGGATTAACAGATAAAACAACATATTTTTAAATATCTTTAAAATTAAGATTCCTCAAATGTCAGTTTTCACCTATGAACACATTTTATAATCTCTTTAATGATTTTGTGTAAATATTCTCCAAAGAGCAAACAAGAATATAATGTATTTGAAGAGATATTTTCAAACAGTCATATTTTCTCAAATCCAAATTACCAAAGGTTGAGAAAGAAAACACCATTTAAAACTAATGTGGCAAAACCAGGTAGAGGAAAAGCAAAAAGACAAAACAAACAGCTCTGGAAATTAACAATCAGATGAAATAAAAACTAATAACCTAGTAGGTCTACATAAAATACATGTGCTAGGTTCTCCATATGTACATTAATATTTGAAGAGAATCTGATAATGTAGTGATTAGGTGATTTTTTTAGACCCTATAAAAAAAAAACTACTCATGTTACTAAGTTTAAAAAAAAAAAGCCCCACTCTGGTTTTTTTCACATGTAAAATGAAGGGAAGTGGACAAAAACCCATCCTTATCAATCTACAGCTCTCTATTCATTTATTATCTTCAACATTCCATTGGAAAAGTCTGGGAAACACTGAAGTATATAATCTCGAAAACCCCTTTCCAGTTCTCACATTCATTGATTATGTGTGAAAGAAACTTTTTAAAAAGCAATTATAATCAGGATTATAACAGAAATTATTTTATTTTAAATGAAGTAATGAAAATCTAAAGTTTAATAAGCGTGTAGACAGTACTTAACCAAAAAAAGAGAAAGTAAGAAAAAAAATTGCAATGTTTATTCTCAACACCACTTTTTCTTTTTCAGGTATTACTCTATCCTGGCATTTAGTGAGCAATACCCTCGAAGCCACCCAAACCTCCCTTTTACCCTTAGTAAACAATCTTGTAACCTATACTGAATTTTCCAATTTGCCACCTTAAACATTTATACGTGACACCTTTATTAGGAAATTCAGAAGATTCATCTTCAGAATAAAAGTGATGAAGACCTTTACCCAGCAGGCTAAAGGTTAAATAAGCAAAGTGCCAAGAGAGATGGAGTATCAATTGATCCCCAATCTCAATAGTAGGGTAGTGCTAAATACAGAAACAAAATCAAACGGTTCATGAACCGATACCAAAAAAAGAACAAGCTGAAAAGCACAGAGTAGTACACATACTTAGAAGGCTGTAAAAGTAAATACTTAGGGAGATCACTGTTGTTCTAGTCCATTCACAATGCAATTGGTAATAACATCAAACATGAAAAAACAGTAGCCAGAGCTAAGTTGTGTGTTATTTCTGGGGGATGTATTAACCTGAAAATGAAAATCCTTACAACAGAGCCAAACACAAGTTTACAATGTCAAGAGTGGATATCAGAATTTGTTTATATTAAGACTCTACTGATCTTGTGAATAGGTATCAAATTTCCTGGCTACACCAAATCTAACCAGTCGACTTACAACTTCCCTTAGTTTACAATTTTCCTTATCATTCCCTCAGAAAAAGAACTTCTGCAAATTTAAAGTGACTCAAATGAATATGCTAAATACAAATACAACCATACATACATCATTTCAAAAACTTTATCAATTCTCCTGACCAAAAGACTAACTTATTCTCACCATTAATAAATAAGGCCTTGCCTCAAGGGCCAACCAGAGCAGAGGTTCTCTAACTTACATCACTGGACACCCAACCAGAGCAGAGCTTCTCTAACTTACATCACTGAACTCCAGAGGTAAACTCTCAGTGGGCTGAAGCTCAGCAGCACTCAAGTACAGATCCATGGGGCCGGCTTCCAGATCGTCTGGCACAGACAGTACCTGCTCGGGCTTATACATCTGAGGAGGCAACTGGAAATGCAGTGGGCAGCAGGGATCCTCAGAGAGGCTTACAGGAACTGGTTTGTTGCAGGGTACCTCTTCAGACCCCTGGCAGCATTTGAAGAGAACCTGATTTGTGTCCTGACAAATATCTGCAGAAAAACGGTCAAGGGAAATAAAATAGATCGATCGGAGGTACAAAATATAAGAGTTGTCTGCCATGAAACCTCAAGGTCTGGACCACACAAGATAATTGGTTCCATCTGATACAGAACCAAATGTAGTTAGCCATTTTTAAAGTTACTTCTTAAAATAAGTACATTCACTAGCATCTAATTATAACTCCACCAGTAATTTAAAATTAGTCCCCAATCTACATTTCAGGATCCTAGTCTTTTCAACTAGACACTAATCTTGTTCTCCCTCATGAGGATCAAACACAAAACGTGTGAAAACATAATGTTAAACAAAGAGCAATAACAATCTTAGGAATTTACACCTATTCAGAAGAAACATGTCATGGCAATTGCAAATACAGCTTGCAGAGGCCTCCACCAAGTGTCAAAGAGAGATAATGTTGTCTCCACTCTGTTAAGCAGGCTGGCAAAAAGTCTGCCAAAGATTTTCAACTCGTTTCCAATATTTACATGACAAATTTGCCTAAAGCAGCAAGGAACGGGAGAAAATAGAAGTTCTAGTAATGGTAACTAGCCATCTTATTCTGATAGGAAATAAAAACAAATGGCCATCCCCCTACTTTTGGGTAGGGGAATTGGTTGGGGTGTTAGTGTAGGGGCGTTCTATTAAGATCCCAAAGAGAAAGGGATAATTTTGCTTATGAGGGCCTGTGAAAAAGGAATTACACCAGAAACATTCCGGGAGCTCTATCAACTTCTGTAAAGGGTAAAAGCAGAAAAGGGCTATATTTCCAAGTTGGCAAAGCTCTGTAGGATGAATCAAAATTGAAAGCATGCTTAGATAAAATAACAAAATTCCAGTTCAAGTTACTCTACAAAATGTATTTTATTCAAGTATTACCACTTCTTTAAGACTTTACATGGTATTTTCCCTAGATTAACATTTATTAAGTTATTTAATATACTATAGGTAACATGTTATTTCAAACTTGGGCTTATTTTTAAACCAGAAAGCAAAATATTCTGTAAATTGATTGTATCATGATTATGAAATTATAGTTAATTTTTATCCAAAAATTTTAAGGTAATTTTTAAAAATTAAAGTATCTAATATACATTATAATTTTTAAAGCAAATTAAAACTTCTTGAATAAAGCCACTTCTTTCAGTCTGTTCTTGGAAATTACTAAACTCTAAGGCAGGGTTTCACAACCTCGGCACTACTGACCTTACTGATGATCCTGTGCACTGCAGGACCCTTAGCAGCGTTCTTGGCCTCTACCCACTAGATGTCAGTAGCACCCTCACCCCTGGTTTAGGACAAGCCAAACTGTCTCCACACATTTCACCATGGGGGACAAAATGGCCCTCAGTTAAGAACTACTACTCTAAAGGAACAGTGAAAGTAAACAAATATTTACTGAATGAAAATGATCTAATGAACAAACATATGAGTTAGGAACAATCAGATTTGCAGTCTGTATGTACTTAAAATCTAAAGTCTCTAATGTGATTAAAAAGGCCAATCTTATTAAATTATTAATATTTAAAACGTTAACCCATTATATTAAATGTTTTAACTGGTACTTTATTCATGGAATTCAAAGGACTTTCACAAGTCTCTTACTTAATACCAAATACCCTGGGAACACATTACCACCATCCTCCACCCCCTTTCCTTTCAGTGGGGCCAAAAGAGACAAAGAGAAGGGAATGGTTGACCTACAACTAGAGTCTGGGTCCTTCACTTTTCAGTCCAGTGCTGTCTCCATTAGACCAGAGTAAAGAGTTAACAGGTCACCAATGGCAGTCGCATCTTTCTCTGGAATAAGGACTTAAGGAAGGGTAAGTAACTTAGGCAACTATGGAGTGGAAAGGAAAAGAGCATAAAAGAAAAAATAGTATTTCCCTTCTCTTTTCAAATATATTTTATTTTCAACAGTACTTTCTAAAATATTAATGTAAATATAGTACTATAAGCCTAAAATACTCCTTAACATCTGTAAATTGGGTTTTTTGCCTTATAAAATTCAAGCTCCCTGAAAACCTGAAAAGTACAAAGCAGAAGAAAAAAAGGCATTCATAACCCCATCAAAATTAATCACATTTCTATGACATTCCCTCCCAGTATTTAATGCCATGTAGTTAAAACATATTCTGAACAATTCCATATCCTATTTTTGTTACTATCAAACATTGTATCATTCATTAATTTTGTCAAACATGTTCAATGCCTGAATGTATTCCTTATGTATCACAATTTTCTTCTCTCTGCCCAATCTCTGAAAAGTTTAAGGCTATCTCCAGTTGGAGGAATTTTATAAATACTGGCCTCCATTTGACTACCTCCTTAAAATAAATTCCCACAACTGACATTAACATATCAAAGAATATGAATATTATCAAACTGCTTTCTAAAAAGCTTATACCGCTTTATATATTCCCACCGGCAATGTTTAGAAAGGCCCATTTTACAAGACCCTCATCAACTTTTGAAATTTGCTCACTTACTTACAGTAACATATGTACAAGTATCAAATTTATAGATTCATGAACTTCAATTTACTTCCTATTTCATTTATTTACAAGACAAACTTTTCAACAGTTACTTCTACTTTTAAATCTGTCCACAAACAGCCTTTGCCGAATTATATTTTGAGCAATTATCTTTAGTTTTTAATTAGTATGCACAAGCATTTTTATTGAGGACAGTAATTCTCTACTAAACATTTATTGCAATAATAAATTAGTTAAATATTTAATAAACCAAACAGAAAAAGATCAGTTTTCCTTTCTAAAGACCAAGAGAAGATTATTCCTCCTATTAAATATTTTACTTTCCAAATATTTTATATCTCTTGCCGGGCAAGTGAAATCCAGCAAAATTTATGCCTTTTATACAATGAAGACTACCCTATTAACAAACGCTTTTATTGTGAAAGCAATTTGCTCAAACTATGTCCATTATAAAGTTATACTTTTATAATCCAATAGGCAATCAAGTTTTCTAGCCCAATAGTAAATGTGGTCCCATAGCAGAATTAAGAGATGTTATGACAGCTCAAGGACAAATTCAGTGTGTGGGCAGGGAAGGGGCAGTGTTTCATCCCACTTTTGGAAACATTAAGTTTCCCATGTGAATGAAGAGTAAAACATGTAATTTTGGGGCCTGACATACAGAATAATACTCAAAGGAAGCTCACAGTTCAGAATCATCCTATTGTTTTTGGTGGAAAACCCACAGTAATTTTTTTAAGTAATTGGATTAACAGATTGTAAATCTAATCAACTAATTAAATCAAGAACCTTTATATTTTGGAATCCCAATATTACCTAACTACAAATAAATATTAACTCATATCTACCACTAAGACTCAGATGTTTCTTTCCAATGAATTGACCATTACATTTCCAAAGTTCTGAAATGGCCAACAGACCATAGAAAGACATTTGTTTAGGCTCCTGCTTGAAACCAACAGCTTCAGCACACTGCCGGCCTTGATTCAGGGCCACAGGTAAAAAAGACCTTCAATTAAGCAAACTATCACAGAGATTCCCACCACCCTTCAATCTAGCTAGCAAGCTGAACACAGTAAAAAGATACGAGTAAGACAATGTCTGGTCATTGGAAGAGATTGATTGGAACAACGAACATCATCCACGAAGGCCAAGCACCTCTGACTGGAACGAGTGGTATGGGCCTAAAACAGAGAAAACAGATCAATTAAAACAGACCCACAAAAGAAAATGTAACCAATTATCATGAGAATACTTTGTTTCTCAACATATAAGGTACATCCTTAAAAGCTAAAAAAATTCAACATGACGTATTCACCAAAACTATGCAAAAGGAAAAAAATTTTTAAACCTATTGTCCAAATAATACATCAACACTAATCCAAAATACACCTATTATGTATACTATTAAAGTGTGATATAGCCTAATGGTTTTTCAAATTATTTTGTCTTGGAGCAAAACCCTCTTTAAAAAATTGTAATCTTATGCAGAGCCTCAACAATTAGATAAAAATAGAAAACACTTATTGATGCAAAGACCAAAGGCTTGAGAAACAAATTTAATAATAATCACTTAACTCTGCTTCCTATGAACCTTACTTCCCATCTTCTAAAACAAGATTCCTAAGCAACACAGTCTTAACAACTTTGTCTACTTCTGAACTGAAGAATTTCTGAATCAAAGAATTGAGTTCTATGGCAACACTGCAATTTGTAGATGAGTAGGGACACCCAGAGAAGTTACCTGTGCAGACACAGAACTGGTCTGAAGGGAACTGAGATTAGAACCCATGTCTCCAGACTTCCAGATATACACACTCTTTTCAATTCACTCCGCGCCCAATTTAGATTCCAGAGCCAAGCTTATACAATAGCATTTTGACAATTATCCTAACTTTATAAATAAAGCAAACCGTACACAAATTACCTGTTGGGCAGCACTATCTGTGGCCAACATTCTGCGTTCCTTTAGTTGCCTATGTAGTAAGGCTTCCACTCCATAGCGCTGACGATACCGCCTAAGACATTTTAAACGCTTTAAGTTCTCTCGTTCTTTCGCCAAAAGTCCCTCTGGGCCAGTCAGAAGACTACTACCTGAAAAGCAGCAATCGTCAAGATGTTATTTGTCAAGCAACAATCAAGGATGCTTCTCCAAATTAACAAGAAGTACATAGGGATATCTTGCCACAAGATAAGCAATTTCAAAAGCAACTTCTCCTTCAATCCAGATACCAAGACAGAAATAACTCTTTCTAACTACTACCAAATCCACATGATGCACCCACTATAGCTTTTTGGAACTGGCATAAAACTTGCCTAGAGCTTCATGTTCCACTTTGCGATTATGTAAGTAACGTCGCTTTTTCTCTTTGAGCAGATGCTGAAGTCGTTTAAACTGATCAATGTACAAAGACTGCAAACGGATTAGCTTCTCACGCATAATCAGGGCCACTTCTTCTGCTGTGTATACACCAGCATGTCTGGATGAAAACAGAATTCAGCAAAGCTTAAGAAAGCACACTAAGTTCAGACAGAGATTCAAGATGGCAACATGAGAGGTGAGACAAATAACTCCTCCCAAAACCACAATTAGTACAAAAATATAGTTAAGTAACACAACTAACCCTAAAACAGCAACAAGAAACAAGGCTACACCGGACTGCATGCAGACCGCATGAACAGAGCAGACCTCGCAAAACAGGGTAATGTATGAAAGCCTTGATCCAGCAGGACCAGGGCCTTCCCCCACCCCAGATCACCAGCAGAAGTAAGAGAAACAGAGTGGGGAGGGGGTGGAAGCCTGGGACTGCTGAACACCCAGCCCTGGAGGTCTGCTTTGTGAACAGAAACCTATACTGTGTGCTGCTCTGGATGTTGGGGAGCTAGGGCAGGCGGACTGCTTGAGACTGAAATTCTGGCCGTTTGTGGAGTTTGGGATCCACATCTGACCACTCTGTGTCAGAGAAAAGGCAGGCAGTCTAAGAGGCTTCCTAGCAGCAAGAGAGCTGCTGAAGGGGCGGGGTTTGCATGGAGCTTGGTGCATGGGAGAAGGAAGAGCTGGACAAGGTTGTCTGTGCGCCCTCTGCCCAGCAGATTGGGAATGCTGAGGAGCTTCAGGCGCTCCATACCCCTGGCTGGCTGCCCAGCTCTGAGGCACCCCACTGTGATACGCTGCCTGCTGTGCCTCCCTCCTAGCCTGCTAGCACCAAATGACAAACCGGCTGTTACTGTGCTGCCATCAGGCTAGCCAGAGGGAGGCCCCACCTACAAAAGCTGGAGACGCCAAGCACAGAGGCTTACAACTGTGTGCTTGGCCTACTGGCTCTGATATGGGAGACAAGCACTGCAGATGGGAGTAAGGAAACAGATCTTTCCTCCCCCCCAGGCACCAGCTCCACTCCCCTACAACCCCCAACCTCACTCTATGGGCTGAGCAGCTCGAGACTGGAGCTTCGGGGCACAAGAGGGCACCACACAGAAAAACGAAACATCAAAAGAACATGATTCAGACCAAAATCTCACAAACCCCAGAAAAAGGGCCAAATGAAACTGAACTCACCAATCTCCCTGAGAGTTCAAAATAAAAATCGTAAACATGCCTATGGAGGTACAGAAAAATATTCAAGAACTCGGGAATGAATTTAAGTCAGAGATTCAATTAAGAAATTCCTTGACTTGTATGAAATGAAACATACAATGGAGGGATTTAAAAGCAGATTAGATGTAGTAGAAGAGACGGTAAATGGAATAGAAACTAGAGAAGAGGAACACAAAGAAGCTGAGGCACAGAGAGAAAAAAGAATCTCTAAGAATTAAAGAATATTGGGAGAACTGTGTGACCAATCCAAATGGAACAATATTTGCACTATATGGGTACCAGAAGAAGAGGAGAGAGAAAAAGGGATAGAAAGTGAAATTGAGGAGGTAAATGCTTAAAACTTCCCCTATCTGGGGAAGGAGATAGTCTCTCAAGCCATGAAGATGCACAGATCTCCCAACACAAGAGACCCAAGGAAGACATCAAGACACATAATAATTAAAATGGCAAAGATGAAGGATAAATACAGACTTTGAAAAGCAGCTAGAGAGAAAAAAAGATCACATACAGAAGAACACCCATCAGTCTATCATCAGACTTCTCAACAGAAACCTTAAAGGCCAGAAGGGAGTGGCATGATATATTTAATGCAATGAAGCAGAAGGGCCTTGAAACAAGAATACTCTACCCAGCAAGGTTATCATTTAAATTTGAAGGGGGGATTAAAAACTTTTCAGGGGGTGGAGCCAAGATGGTGTGAGTAGAGCAGCGGAAATCTCCTCCCAAAACCATATATATTTTTGAAAATACAACTATTCCTAAAAGAGAGACCAGAAGACATAGGACAACAGCCAGACTACATCAACATCTGTGAGAACCCAGCGCCTCACAAAGGGGGTAAGATACAAACCCCAGCACAGCGGGACCCGAGTGCCCCTCACCCCAACTCCCAGCAGGAGGAGAGGAGTCGGAGCAGGGAGGGAGAGGGAGCCCAGGACTGCTAAACACCCAGCTCTAGCCACCTGCACTAGAGTACAGACACACAGTGCATGCGTGGGGTGCTGGAAACTAGGGAAACAAGACAGTAAGACCTGTGAGCAGGTACCCACAGCCAGCGCCCCTGGGACAAAGAAAAGCAAATGCTTTTTGAAAGTCTTAAAGGGAAAGGGACCTCACAGATGGATGGAAGCGTCCTGGGACACTTAGCCCAGAAGCTGGGTATCCCAGGG